AGAGAGAGAGAGAGAGAGAGAGAGAGAGAGAGAGAGAGAGAGGAGATGAACACACACGAAGCAGCAGCAGAGTGAAGGTCCCAGTCCAGCTCAATGAATGAACGAACAACTGAATGAATGAACCTCCCGCCCTGGACCTAGGCCGAAGTGATATACCGGCCTAGGTCCAGGTACGGAATAACCTGGTACCGGACTAGGGTCAGGGCGACGGCCTGAAACTGGTCCGGCCTCACTGCCGGGCCGTAGGGGTACCGCTACAAGGCGAACCACAAGTATAGCAACCACGGGAAGGAAAAGAACCCGCCATGGGAAGAAAAAGAGAGGCGAAAAGAGAACAGATTCACGGGCCTAATGAAAATGCCATCTCCTATCAGCCCGCAATCGAGCCACACTCCCATAGTCTAATTTCTACGGGGGTTACAACGTTGAAAGGATGGTTGAAGTAAACCTCATAGATCCCAACAAGCATCAAGAAGATAGCCAATCAACGACACAAAGACTGACGAGAGAGAGTAGGGAGAGAGAAGAGTGTGAGAGAGAGAGAGAAGGAGAAGAGCGGAAAGAGAAAGGAATAGGTAAAGACAAATCAGCACACGGTGCAATAAACCCGAATGCGACGGAATGTGATTACGAAAAACATGAAGCACATCCCATCAGCCCGAACCGAAAGATGGCGACAACACGCCAGAACATGAAGACCAAGCCGAGCATCTGGCGAGGGACCCGACATGTTTCGTTCGGCCGCCAGTGCCGAACTCATCAGGGTCATGATGCGTCACGGACTACGGAACCAGTGTGGTTGACCGTATAAGTACCCTACGTCAGTCGATCGGCCTACATCCTACGGGGGGGTCTCAATCGTCAACTCCAAGACATGATCCCGACCGGACCGGCCGAAAGAACAGCAACCTTTTTTATCAGGCTGGTCAGAAGCAAGCCCCGTTGGAGGCCCACCTATCAGCTACCAGTCATACTCTACGGTAGGCCCGCGTCCAGCCACAACACTACAAGGCCCAAAAGGCAGGCCCTTCCTAGTCCAGCGTCCATCACCCCTTTTTTTGCCCCCTTTTTTTGCCCCCTTCCTAGTCCGAGGACGGCCCAAGGAGTGTCGAACGATCCCCTGTGTCCTCCCGCCACTCCCCACTCCCCTCCCCCTCGGGGCCCGAGGAGTGTCGAAGGAGCCCCTGTGTCCTCCCGCCACTCCCCACTCCCCTCCCCCACCTCTTGCACCCTCCCCCGTTCCCAGCGCCCCCGCGAATGGCGCCCTGCCTGGCATGTCCGGGATCGGCGCGCAGCGGCGCGCGCCCGCCCCCTCCGTTCACTCACGTGGGGTTTCCTCGCTTCTTGAATCGAACCCGCGCAGGCGGGGAGCAGCGGTAGCGGCGCGGATCCCTTGTTTGATTGATTTGCAGTCGGAGCAATCGCAGCGCGGCAAAGCGCGCCAACGACGGTGGGCTTGGCAATGGGCGCGCGGGGGTGATCTCGTTTCGGCAGCTTCCTGGGGCGAGGTTCCACTAGCAAAGAGGGGTGGATTTAACGTCTTAACGTGGACGTGGTTGAGGACAGATGCAGAAAAATGCAATGGATCTGCTTGTCCGCATCTCTGTGTAAAACATGTCCACATTCGGCCGCCTAATTGCATCCTCTTTGCTAGTGGGACTGTGCCCCTGCATGGATCGATAGGAAACCGTGCGGGACGACCCGAGTGGCGTGTGATCGAGCATATATATATATATATCTACCTCTCTAAACTCTAAATTTCTAGATCTCTGTTTCTATATATGTATATATTTGTTTTTGATACTAGCGGGCAGTAATTAGTGTCTCTTTGATGTTTCATGATTTGGGTCAATTTTTTTGATACGACTCGTCGGCGGCGAAATACAGCTCACCAGCGGGGTTCCGAGATCGGAAGAAGATTCTACCGGGAGAGGAAGATTCGTGGACAATGCGCGGGAAGAAAAGCAGCGTGCCGACCGTGTGGCGTCGCTGTAGGCGTTCCCGCCCTGCGCAGTCTGCAGGCGAGCGCGCGCAAAATACACTTTTCAAAGTTTTCATCATGAGCTGCTAATTACCCTCTCGGGGCCCCGGCGGCGAGAAGGGATGGTGTCGGGGAAGTGCGGTGTGGCGTGAACGACATATCGCAGCCCGTGTGTGTGTGTGTGATTGAGAGTGTGTGTGTGTGTGAGTGTGTATGAGAGAGAGAGAGAGAGAGAGAGAGAGAGAGAGAGAG